CAAATCTGCAAAAATTTGGATATTTTTCCCTCCATATGTGATGTTTGTTCTTCCTTTAATCTTTTTCCATATCTCTTCTCTATCTCCATGGTTATGGAATTTAACGATTATATCCCTTGGTTTTTCTTCCCCTTTTCCTTGTTGGTACTTCCCAATCCTGTATACTTCATCAGTTTAAACATCTCCTCATCCGACTTATCCCTTATGAGGTTCAAGATTTTACCAGTCGTAGCCACTATCCTATGACATTTGCCCATAATGTCCAACTCTCCTATACTCCAGGTACTCCCATACCGGAAAGGGTAATCACATCCCTTGTTCGCTGTCAGTCTTTATTGGGTAAGTATCTATCTCAATTCTCTTTTGAAATTCAAATGTATCTCCTGTAAAAAGTGTCAGGAGTCTCACTGTAACGTCTCCCTCAAATAACTGTAACCTCCTTTCCATCCTCCCTCACCCAATGGACAACTTAAGTCCGGGCCCCATTCTTTATTATCAAAATTGTTGTTTTTTGTTATGAGATCTCTTCCATTATAGCCAATTGGACTCCAGTCTCTCTTCCATTAGGATTCTGCAGAGTCCTCTAGCTGTCCATTTTGATCTGCAAAAATTGACCCATAATAGCCTCCTCAACTCAGACCCGTGTCATCCCTCCCATTTCCCATTTGATGTTTTGGTTCCCATACTTTCCACTCCCATCTCAGGTCATGGTTATTGAATTTAACGTTTGCCCAGCCCATGTCTCTCTAGGTCCCTTGGTGGGGATTGCCCTTTGGATAATATTCTACTTTTGATCCTCTATAGGGGTGCGAACTTCCCTAGGCTAGTTTGGCAAGAATGCCGTAATCCCAGGTTAGGTGTATTATTTATGTGTCTTCCGTGAATACCCTTCAATCCAATGTCCCCTTATCTATATGATTCTTCTTTCCTCTTTTAATCAGCACTTTACCTGGACCCCATGTATCCAAGCGTCTCCACTAGATTAACTCCTACACGGTCCGTTTTTTGTGATCACAAGGTATAGAGGCTCTTTTGATCGCCGCTCCGTGTAAGATTTTACCAAGCTCTCTTTTTTGTGTTTCTGTTTTTGGTTATATCTCTCATAATTAGGTACTGGGATTTCTTCCGGAACTTTGTAGGTAGTTATGGTCATAAATTGCTTTTTAATCGCTTCCATCCTATAATATTAATTCGGGTGTATTTAAGTTCCATTCTTTTTATCTTTGATTTTATTAGCTTCTTTCATTCTCATAATTTTGTTTTTAATTTTGAGCTGTTTGTGGTCTGTCATGTGTATCTTAATCTTGTTTCGCCATACCTCTCCTTATCCCTTCAAATTAATCCGCTGATTCTTATCAACCCAAATTGGGGGGGTATTTCTTAATTAGGGGCGGGTGGTAGTAGCGTGTGATGTTTGTTCTATTTTGTCTTTTAATATCTTTTCTTACCATCTGGATTTCTATCTTTTCATATCTCTTCTTGCTTCTTATATTGAATTTATCTGCATATATTCATTGTCGGTTTTTCTGCCCTTTGCCTTTTAGATTAATTTGTTTGGTACTTTATAAATCATATATGTGGCGGATTTAGTATTGTATTTTATATTTATTTCTTCATCCTTTTGTATTTTCCAAAACATATTTGGATGTTTGTCACTGTTCAGCTTTGAGTGAAAAAATACGTTTTCTATTACTTTCAGTTGATCTCTCTTATTTTTTTGGCTAGATCTATAGGTTTTCTCTCCGCTTGTGTCATTGTTCTGAATTTGCGGAATTTGGATATTTTTGGTTAGTTCAATATGTCAATATTATTTCTCCTTTCTGATTATTATTTATGGATTCCCATTCCGCTTTAAATGGAAATCACTTGGTTACTTTTCTATATTCAAAACTTATTTTTCCGTTAAGGCTTGTTGGTACTTCAGTTATGATTTTTTTCACGTTGAGTGTTAGAGTTATCGCTGTTTTGTTTTATACATTCCTCCAGTTCTCGTGGGATTTTTCATGGGTTAACATCTTTCCATCTTGTCGGATCTACCTTTTATTTTCTTTGATGTTTGAGGACTTTTATTTTACCGATTAGGTAGCCTTTACGACATTTGATTCCGGGTGTATCTCATCTTGTTTCTGGTGATATATATTTCCGGAAGTCCTCTTATTTCTAATATTATTTCTCCTTTCTCTATTTTCTTGTTCTTCCATCCTATAAAGCAATCTCTTGTGTTCTTTTCTATCTTCGATTATCCATTTCTCTAATTTTGGTATGGTCTGAGCTTGGGCTTGTACCTTCTCCTCCATTTCCTCCACCCTAGTAAACAATTGTCCTAGATCTTCCCGGATCATCCCCATCTCTTGCTTTATTGAATTTTCAAAACTTTAAACATCTCCATCTCCGCCATTTCTTTTTTGTTCGGTATTTGCATATCTCTTTCCAACTCTCTCGGTTCAATACCTTCCATTTGATTATTATATACTGGTCCCAGGGAAAGTCTCGGGCTCTGTTATCAAAACTTATTTCCAGTTCACTTTTTTCACTTATTCCCTGAGTTCTTTCTGGGGTAACATTTCCTTGTGACACATACTTCTTAATCGTACCAGTTTGGGTGTTCTTAGGCCCGCTCCCTTTGATATTTTTACCTTTCATGTTGTTGTTAAAATTTTTACTCCAGTTCTCTTACTCCTCCCCGCTCTTCAGACCTATCCTAGGAATCCCCTAATTCTTTTATTTTCAAGTTGAGTGTTTAAGGCACTGTCTTATTCTGGGCACTTAGAATCTAGTGCAGGAACTCAATATATATAAAAGTCTATTATACAAATCCAATGTATATGGCGTGTAAAAGGGGACCTGTAGGCAAACCCACGGTCATCACTCACCCACCATGTTGGAACCTCACTCCAGAAGCAGTCCTCCTCTGTATTTATATCCCCTGGTAGCCTCTTGAAGGGATTCCTAGGGGTCTCACGTAGCTCATATAGCTTATCTTCCGATCACAGATCCTCATAAATTAGAGTTGCTATGCATGTTAATATTTGAATAGAGAAAGGAGTAGTGTGGGAGGTATGATATTTAGCCGTATTATGATATTGGAGGTATAGTATTATAAAACTGTAAAGTTGAGAATAGTATGGAGATGGTATGAGGATGGTGTGAAGGAAGGTTAGGTAGAGGAGACAGGGAGATGTTGAGCAGATTTAGAAGTTGTGTATATTGTATATTGTGGGGGCGATTTGACCTTTGCTTTTCTCTCAGCCACTTCACCCTCCTGTTCAGATGCCGGGCAATCTCTCTCCTTCACAGAGCTCCCAGAGCTCCTCCCGCGGCTTCCCACGTGTCGGTGCCGCTCCAATGCTTTCGGCCGTCTTACTGGCGTCTCCCTGGCAACCCTGCTCCTCCTCCGAAGCCACCGCGAGACGCCAGAGGATACCACGAGGCGTCCCTCTCCCGACTCTCTCCTGTCTCCAGGCTGCCCGTCCGTTTCCCCGGCCACACCACTCCTCCCCAGATGCAGCCACAGGGCATCGGGGAAAATACCCCCGAGTTGTTCCTCTCCTGGCTCTCTCCTGGATCCGACCGCCCTCAGGACTCCGCGAACCCTCTCTTGCAGGTGGGTCTCTGCGCTCATTCAATGCTGCTGGTCATTCTGTCGAGGTCTCATAGGGAGGATAAACGAGGGGAGGCTAACGAAGAGTGCCTGCTACACCCTCTCCCGTGCCGCCATGATCAGGCTCCACCCCCCTGACATGAGAATTTAACCCTTGTTAACTACTGATTTTTATCAATTACATTGTTTTCAGTTCTCTATTGGCACTACAGACCCACACTTTTCCATGTTGTGGTCTTTTTGTGATAAGGAGAGTTGAACCTCATGGTGATTTGTTGTAAGCTTTTTTTTTTTTTTTTTTTTTCCTATTAGGTCCTGAGAGAGTGCTCACAACAACTGTGATTTCCTACCGGACCCTCATGGGAGTTTATGAAGAAAATTGAAAACATGAGAGAGTCATACTAGTTTAAACAGTCTATGAGATTTTATTCTGCAATCAATCCAATACATTTTTTGGGAGCTCAGCACTCTGCCTTAATCAGATCACACTGGCACTTAGAAAAAGGTAGGCTGCTTCTAAGCACCTGTATGATCTCTATACAACTACTAGGGTCCAACTTACAGTCCAGGGTAGTATCTCTCATTCTGTTATTGTGCTACAAGCCCTGATGAAGGAGTTTTGATCTCCAAAAACACATTGGCTTTTTTGCAGAATAAAATCTGTCAGACTGTATGAATTAGTACGGCACACCTATCTTTTCAATTTCTCTATGCTGTGGAAATGAAAAACAAGAGGAGCGGGATCCTATAGTCCTAGCCTATTTGTTTTGCTAATACAGTATAGTGAGTGTTGTCATCCTAGGACAGAAGTGTTATACAGCAGGATGACCAGGTGGAAATAAAGAAATAAAATAAAAATGAACATAAATGTAGCTGTCACATCTAAGGATTGGTAATCTGCAATATAATACGTTTGGGCTTTGATACACTTTAAGTGGTTAACCAGCACCCCAATTGCGCTAGCCTACTATTACTAGCCTACTGTTAGACACAGTATACCACAGAAACGTACAATTTTATTCATGGAGCATCCCTTTTGCCCATTATGTGTGCAGAATGGCTTCCTGTATATCCTAAAAAAAAAAAACCACTATATTGCCAAAGGTATTGGGACACTCCTCCAAAACATTGGAACACCTGAATTCAATCACCTCCATGGCCACAGGTGTATAAAATCAAGCACCTAGGCATGCAGACTGCTTCTACAAACATTTGTGAAAGAATGGGCCGCTCTCAGGAGCTCAGTGAATTCAAGCGTCCTACTGCGATTGGTCACCACCTGTGTAGTAAATCCATCCGTGAAATTTCCTTACTACTGAATATTCCACCCTCAACTGTTAGTGAAAGAAATTGAGAACAGCAGCAACTCAGCCACAAAAAATGAGAGCAGGGCCAGCACATGCTGAAGCGCACAGAAGTCACCAACTGTCTGCAGAGCCAATAGCTAAAGACCTCCTAACTTCATGTGGTCTTCAGATTGGCACAACAGTGTATAGAGAGCTTCATGGAATGGGTGTCCATGGCCGAGCAGCTGAATCCAAGCCTTACGTCACAAAGTGCAATGCAAAGCGTCAGATGCAGTGGTGTACAGCACACCGCCACTGGACTCTACAGAAGAGGAGACGTGTTCTCTGGAGTGACAAATCACACTACTGTGTCTGGCAATCTGATGGAAATATCTGGGTTTGGCAGTTGCCAGGAGAACAGTACTTGCCTGACTGCATTGAGCCAAGTGTAAAGTTTGGTTGAGGGGGGATAATGGTGTGGGGTTGCTCTTCATGGGTTGGGCTTGGGCCCTTTGTTCCAGTGAAGGGAACTCTTAAGGCATCAGCATACCAAGACATTTTGGACAATTTCATGCTCCCAACTTTGTGGGAACTGTTTGGGGATGACCCCTTCCTGTTCTAAAAAATGACTGCGCACAAAGCAAGGTCCATAAAAGACAAGGATGAGCGTGTTTGGGATGGAGGAACTTGACTGGCCTGCACAATCCAGGAGGACCTGATATTGTCAATTTAGCCCTTTGCCCTGTGTGGGTCATGGTGTTGAGGTGAGCAGGCATTGCTGCCATTTGAGGATTGGTGTTTGTTACTCCACTAGAGTGAAGATCACGTGGGCACCATCACGTTTTTTGCATGGACTTTATAGCTTGATATTTCACTAATGAATTTTGTTTATTTATATTTTATGGATTACAATTAATATTATTGAGCATAATCACCATTCACTAATGTTTTTTGTTTGTATGGATTATTATTTATAATATTGAGTATAACCACCATCACATTTGAGTGTTCACTTTATTTTAGAAATTGGTTCACTATTTATTATCAATTTATTTCACACTGAACACTAATATGTTGTTTATATTTATTTTATATGTATTAGGAGTATATTATTGATATAGCGCTTCACTATTTTTTAATTATAAAAAAATAAGTGTAAGCATATTTCAGGGCTCTCTCAACCCAAGCATTTTTACAAACTACAAAAATGTATCTAAATCATAGCATCTTTTTCCAGAGAGTGTGTCTCCTGCATATACATGCATATTGCATACTCCATTAATTTTATTAGAAGGCCCATTAATAAGCTTTCAGTCCGCAGACGGGCGGTCCTAGTGCTCCTAGGACCGCCCTTCTGCAGACTGAAAGCTTATTAATGGGTCTTAGGTAAATCCTTACTCTAAGCAGAGTGTTGCTTAGCTTACCTTTACCTGTATTGCTCAATCAGAATAGCAGTTTCTATGAGTTGTAATGACTGCATCGGTATAAAATATCAGCTATTCTGCAGCTTCTTTTTTAAAATGGAACTTTACTGTGCCCATTTAAAAGTAAAGTAAAAGCTTTGCTGGTATCCTTCATTGCTTGCAATTACTTTACACTCCTCTCTTTCTGCCACATTTACTTGCCAGAAACCAAAAATGAAGGTATGTAGGTCCAGGGTCTACTCTAGGTCACAGCTTTGGCAGGCCTAGGCAAATTATGTCATACAACTCAGGAGTCTTCAGGAAGTGAGAAGGGGTTTTCTCAGCTAAGCACACCCTCATGTCGGCATGGCTGAGCTAAGGGTAGATGGATTCCAGGAAGTAAAGGCTGAATCATCTGCCCTTACTCAAGATGGCCATGGCCAGGAATGCTAGGGGGTGTTTTTGAAAGTGATTTCTCAGCAAAATAAAGCATGTCTAGATGAATGGATGAGTTTGCTTTGAATATTAAAAATTAATTAAACAGTGTTTTTGGTTTGTGGTGCTCAGGTGCAGTGAAGTTCGCTTTAAGGAGCTTCCCCTTCTCCCAGCCCTAATGATGCAAACCTGGAAACCAACAACCAGTGCTGCATTGCAAAGGGCAGAAGAGAGTTACAAGTACCTTGCATAAAAGTATATAATTATTCTTGGAGCTCGGAGTAATAAGATAAGTAGAAGGTAAGCACCAGTGGGTGATACCTATCCTGCAAACCTGAATAGGCCAAGTACAGATTTGCTTTAAGCTGTCAAATTGTTACTCGACATAAAACAAAACATCAGGTTTTTACATGATTTGCACTTAAAAACTGACCACCCTTACCAGAAATTTTACATTCTTGTCCACGTTATTCTATAAAATGTAACAGTAGCCAGTGTACTATGGAAGCTAAACATTTTTAAGTTGAATGATATTTCAGAAAATTCTATTATTAAAAAGAACTTGGCAAGGATAAGTTGTAGGATACAAGATAAAATATTATATACACTGTCCAACTTTAAGCCACATGGGAAACATATTCAGCAAGGTTTTATTATTTACACTGCTACTTTTTCTAAAGAGCATTTCAAGTGATTATGACAAAAAAAAGGAAAGAAAACAAGAGCAGAAGCTTACAGGACAAATTGTGCTTATTTACTTTAGCAGCTTCTGATACTCTAAGTTTGAAAGTCTCTCTGAGCATTTAATGAATACAGCAAGATACCCCCCAAAAATGTAGCACTGACATTGGTAATTAAGGTGTAAAAGACATAGCTCTGTTCTGAAATACAAGCTCTTCAGTCATTTCTGTTTAGCTAAGTTCTTGCCAGACATAGCTCAGCACTTTAGTGCAGCCAGATATCTTATGAGAATAAGGTGCACTGTCCTTTACTATTCAAAGTACAGGAATTACTATGAAGTTATTTGGTCAGGTGGAGAGAAAGACATCACTGGAGAGGGGAGATCTTGAGAGGAATCATAATACGGGACTCCATGTCACGGACCAGAGGAACTGTAAAAGAAGACAGCAAAAAAAGAAAAAAAGTATAAACAATCTACTTAAACAGAATGGTGGTATAAATTATAAATCATCACATTCATTTTTTAATAGACTTGTAATGAAATAGTGTTCAGAAAGTGCTTTTACCTGTGTAATACACATTCTCATCCCATCCTCGTTTTGCCCATGCTGATTTCCTAGTTTCTTCTCTAGACTGTAGATCTTTGTAAGCTAAAAAAGAAAAATGTAAGGTGCTCCTATTAATATATGCTCTGATCTGCGTTACCTATGAATGCTTACTCTAACCAAATCCGATTATATCAGTTGTGTAATTATAGGCAATTGAAAAGCTAAATGTTGTGATGTCATTATGTCCTACCGCTTGATGTGTGGGGGTGCTGTACCCTGTTCTTTCTGATTGCATCTTTGCGAGTGCATTACTGCATTTAATAAAATAAGTCTGTTTAATGGTAATGCACGATGTGGACTCTTATCTCTTTTCCTTATGGTGTCTAACATGTGGGCCTTCTTATGAGCAAGTGAGGTTGCTGTCTGAACTGGAGAATGCTGAGAATGAATAAACTGGAGAATGCTGGGAAGCATTGTTTAGTCACCATACTTGCCAATATGACCTCCTATTATCTATAGGTCGATCTTTTCAGGTAAGACACCTTGTTCAATGAAGTGTCGGACCATGTGGAGTTATATCGGATTACTAGCTTATTTTATACCATCATTCTCGATTTACTTTTTTGGGAATATTTAAACACAGCATCAAAAATATGATTTTTAGTTATTTATTGACACTATTAATTTGTTGTTTATTATGAATTTCTGATGATCATGTACACATGTGATTTCACACGAATGCACTATTTGTTAGCTGTTTATTATACATTTCTGAAAATCAGATGCACAGTCTGCCTGCTCAAAGGCAATAAAAAGGCATTAAAATCAGGCAGAATCTACATGCCAGAAAGCTGTACAGCCATGTGTCACCCTTGAGAACAGACCTGCATTTATCAAGGCAACAATCTCAAATAATAGAAACCACACCCATGCAAAGAACCTTACTTGAGGGTCCAGAAAGTGGTTTCTTCACCTGGGGAGCAGGTGGTTGGCCACAAGTTTATTGCAGCCAGGTAAGGGGAGCTGCTTGCACATCTTGTGCAAGGCAAGTAGGATAAAACAGAAAACTGGATCAGCCTCAAAATTTATCCGAGATGGGTTCTATGGGGTAAGAGCAAGAGTGGATTCTACCCATTCCTATGTTGCCATGGAGTCAGGAACAATAATATAGCCTTTGGGAAGGGGGCGGGCACAATGGAATCTTCAAGAAATAGTCTAGTACATGATTTAGCCCAGTAGAGAATACTTTAAAATGAATATGTTGGATTTGGATAGAATTATCCTTTACAAAATAATAAGGACCCTACTGAGTTTTTGCAATATACGTGTTCTGCAGCTACTGGACGTTTTAGGTTACATTTCTTATTGTTCACAGAGGGACACAGCATGACTTCTGGGTACTCCAGCTTGCAGGATGTTAAACACTAAGAAAATGGTACCCTTCTCCCATGGGTTAGGCCTCTAAAAGGTACTATTTCTGTAAACCTAGGAAATTACCCTCCCTTTTTTCTTTACATAAAATTCAATCTTTTTGACAAGGGCTACAAGTTACTGGAACAGAATACAGTATATCTATATCTTTCAAGCTAGCTATTTCTGTCGTATGTGGCTCCACCAGCAAAGTCACACTAAACCACCAGATCCCAATATTGATAGGGTTCTTCACTACTGCAGAGATCAGCAGCATGACAGCAGCAGGAGAGGTGAGCATTTAAAATGGTTGTAAAGGCTCATGGTTTTTTTTTTACCTTCATGCATTCTATGCAAGAAGATAAAAAACCTTTTCTGAGCAGCAGCCCCCAGCCTCCTCTAGATCCTGCGATGTGCACGAGAGCAGTGGCTCTCTGGGAACTCTTCCTCTTGGCTAAAACAGTAGCAGGAGTCATTTGCTCCTGCTGCTGTCAATCACAGCCAGTGTGCCAATCAGGAGAGAGCAGGGGCGGGCTGAGCCGTGCTAGTGTGAGAATGGACACACAGAGCAGAGGCTCGGGAGCGAGCCTGCTCAGGTGCCCCCATAGTAAGTGGCTTGCTATGGGGCCACGTATCAGCTGGGAGGGGCCATGAGGAAAAGGGACCCCAGAAAAGGAAGATTGGGGCTGCGCTGTGCAAAACCACTGCCCAGAGCAGGTAAGTATGCCATGTTTGTTATAAAAACAACAAAAAAAAAACAAAAAAAAAGAAATCTGTCTTTAATATTACTAATATTTTCCTTGCAGGAACCTTGTATTTTACAGTTCTATTTTTTAGCAATGATGTGTTAAAATTGTACTAATTTCAGGGCCACTATAGCCATAATAAATTGGGGTTTAAGAAATGAGTCCACTCATTTTTTTTTTTAGCTGTTCCCCCTAACAGTTTTCTACTTCCACTGCTTTGCCAAAAAATGAAGAGCAAATGCCAGGTTACAGACTGTAAAAAAAAAAAAAAAAAAAATCTATAGTTTCTGTAAAAATCCTTTTCTTGGAGTTCACTGAGGGACACAGGAATTCTAACACTGACAAGTTATAGACCCTGGCGAAAAAACTATTACCTGGCACAGAATAACCCAGGCCGCTTGCCAGCACTGTTTTTTGGTACCAAGGGTATGAATGGAAACACAAAAGTATTTTACAGAAAGAACAAAAATCCTCTTATCTCGAATTCATTGACGGACACACGATATCTTACACTGTCAGGACATTCAAGAGCAGTCCAACAAATGAGTGGGCAACATAGTAAACAAGTGCTAAGAGGTCCAGGAAAACAGAAAACTTAAGACTGCAGAGCTTAGAGAATGTGGTTAAAGAAGACCAGGTGGCAGCCAAAATCTGGGAAATAGTTGCTTGATGCCAAAAGGCCCAGGAAGCACTCACAGAACTAGTAGAGGGTGCCTTGACAGGAAAGATAGCACCTGGATCCTGGAAACCATACACTTTGGATGATGGTCTGCCTGAGCCACCCTGGTGGAATTAGAAACCGGAACAGCCTTCTAGAGTCCATCTAGGCTGACAAAGAGAATCAATCTTTTAGAAGCAGCAACAGATTCTCACAGCCTGAAAAACATCCAGACAATTGATTCTGAAACAAAAAGAGAAAGGTCAGAAACCGAAACCTGGATAATGCCAAGAGGCAAAACAATGGTCCAGTCCAAGCTGTAGGAGAGGAGCTTGGTCCTAAAGATAAAACTTCAAAAAAGGTGGAAGTCCCGAGACTCATACCAAGTGAAGTATGTCTTCCATGTTAATGACAGACCTTGTGGGAAGTAGCCATCCTATCTTTTGGCAGCATAGCAAAGATGAAGAGATGCCCTGTTACTTTAGAAGAGCAGGATAATAAACTGGTTCTTAAATAGAAGATACTTATAATCCATAAGAGCCCATAGAACATCTGCCTTGAGTATTACCAGGTTGACATACCACATCTGCCTGGACCATGCCAGAGCAAAGAGCATCACTGGAATGCCCTCCATCTCGACCCCTGTGAAAATGGAGTTTCAGGGAGGGAAAGATAGAGATCAGGTAGTTTTGATCTTATAGAGTTACCAGAGCATCCATTGCTACTGCTAGAGGGATCCCTGTACCCAGAGACACATATTTTCTGCCCATGTTAGTTGTTGGACCTGAAGGTTTACATCAGACATTTGCCTCATCTGTGGCTAGAAGTTGCCGGCTGAGAAAGTCTACCTGTCAATTATCCACGCCTAGCATGTACACAGAGGAAAAGGAAAATTAAGTTCCATCTAGGAAAGAATGTAATCTACCTCTCTTGCTATGGCGGTACTTCTGGCTCCTCCTGAAGGTTGATGTACACCACTGCCTTGGTTTCGTCCAAATGAATCCAGATTGGGCGACATTCCAGCAGGATCATCCAATACTGCAGAGATGGTCAAAAATCACTCAAAGCTCCAGGATGTTATTTGAGAAGAGAGACCTCGTCGATGACCAAGTTCCTACACCAACAGGGTGCCTGCCCGGACTCCTCCCCAGTGCAACAGTCTGGCATTCCGCAACGATCCTGGCAGGGCTAAAATCAGGACTAGCACCTTGGTGAACAGCTGAGGTGCAGATGAGAGGCCAAAGAGCAAAGACATTATTGGAAGAGTACTGGCCCCACAGCAGAATGTAGGAAATATACAGTAGGTGTGTTGGACAGATGCAGGCGCGTATCAACAAAAGCCAGAAAAAATCCCAGGCGAAGGGGGACGATGATGCCACTTCTGGGTATGGGGGCAATTAGTTGTAGTAATACCTCAGAGACTTTTCTGTCACAGGCTGTTGTGGGCCTTTTGAATTATTGTCTCAAAAATATGACTTTATCAAGACATAATATTATATGACAAGCAGCTCAATATAGCCGGATGTTAAGGGGTTAATTTGTCTTGGTTGGAAAGTCGAATGACCATCTGGCTGGAGAGGTGTAGATGGTGGGTGAAGGGATTTTTTTTTCCTCCCAGAGACAATATACTATTTTGAAGTTCTACAGGTGGTCAAACACCATTATTCAGACTTCAATAGCAGGTAAAACATATACAAGGTCTGGACATGACAATAGAGGAACCAAACGGATTGTCTGAGAGCTTACTCAAACCTTGCAGAGTGTGATAAACCAACAGACCTCTGAAACTATCACAATATACTATTGTCCACCAAGGGTGAAAGTATTAAGAGTTGTTTACCGTGACTCCAATACAAGAGCCAGGCAAACAGAGAGTTTTTTCCCTACACATAGAAAATGTTGGTTCTAAAACAAAGAAGTTAAATTCAGGACATTTAAGTCTAAAAATTGAATGTATCTAACTACAAAGATATACTACAAAAACATATTATAAATGAGATGTTATAAAGGATAGGTTTTACACACCACCAAATATTCAGCAATGGGGAACTATATATCACTAACTAGAGTATTGAGATGATGGAAAGTAAGATGTATTATAAACTAGCATTAGTTACATGTCTTATCAGGAAACAAACAGGATGGTATTTCAAGAAGGAATAACTGAATATACACCTATATTCCATGGTCCCTATTTAGAATATTATAGGTATGATCACTTATATCTGGAAAAAGACATATATTTGATCCTGAAATTACCTTAAGATTCCACCCGAGGTATGAGTCAT